TATTTTCTATTTTAAGACATTTAAAATAAGGATATTTTAATTTTCATTTAAGGAATATATTTTTATTTAAGGCATTATTTAAAAAATATAATCTTTTTATTAAAATCACATGTGATTTAAAGCGTGAAAAACAATGATTTAAATTAAACACTGAAAAAGAAAAATAATAGAAACAAAATCGCATGTGATGTGTAACAAAACACATTTAATATGTATAAGATCACATATGATTCAAAATATAATTCATAATTTATAATTATCACATGTGATGTTGTACATAACTACATTAGTTTTCCAGTTAAAGCTACTATGATCAATATCATATATGGTTTGACGAAAGTTAGCGAATTTTTGGAAAAAAAAACGTCGATTAATTGTGGATATCACATATAATTTTTGACGAAAGTTATAAAAAATGTTAAATAAATTATTTCAGTAAAAAAAATATATTAAATGAAAAGTAAATCATGCTTATTTTAAATGCCATACAAATATAAAAAATAAATGAAAGTTAATCATGCTTAAATCATAAAAATTATAAAAACAATATTAAATAAATACCTTAATTAAACGTATTAAATATCTTATATAAAATAATCAATTTCCATATATAATCCAAATACAACAAATGACACATATACATTTTTAGGCGATTTTTTTAAATTCTATTTAAGGCATGATTTAAATAAATGATTGTGGAAGATTTATTCTTTTATTTTCTTATTTAAATAACAGTTTCATCTGAACCTCCTTATATATGTGTATATATATATATATATATATATGTTTTATACATTATATTTTATTAAAATATATCATATATGAAAATAATATATAATATATTTTTATAATATATAATATGGTTCATAATATATTATATGTATATATTATAAATATATAATAATATATAAATATAACTCATCTTTGATCAATGGATACAAAACACCCACGTTTTAGCACCTGATGAACGGCTCCGACTTTTTTATATTTAATGCATATATATATATATATATATATATATAGGGTTTATTTCAAATACAACCTATCGCATTTGTACAATCAATGCAACCCAATAAATTGAAATATTTATGGAAATGATTGTCCTTGTCCATGTGGTTTGCAATTTATAACTCATTGGGTCCCTTGTCACTGACTCTGTTATATTTTTTTCTTTTAAGTAGGTTAATTAAGAGGGCATTTTGATCATTTTAATCATAGAAACCAAACAACAGGGACGAACCCAAAAAAAATTTCAAACGGTGGCACCATATAATTAATATAGTATAATATACATCTAAAAATAATTACAAAAAATATGGTTTTTATAATACCGATAGGGCTGTAAACGAACTGAACGTTCAGCGAACCGTTCGTGAACCTTTCGGGTGAAAGTTCGTTTATGTTCGTTTATTTAATAAATGAACGAACATGAACTATTTTTTTTTGTTCGTTTAGTTAAACGAACGAGTATAAACAAGAGTCTCGTTCGTTCATTTATGTTCATGAACGTTCATTCATTTACCGTTCGTTTATATTCGTTTGTTTATGTTCGTTTATATATTAAGTTTAATATATTATCTTTTATTTATTTACTTTGAATTCAAATAATATTTATTTATGTTCGTTTAGCCTGTTCGTTTATGTTCGTTCGTTTAGCATGTCTACAAACGAACATAAACGAACACAAACACACCTTATTTCTAAACGAACGAACACGAACACAAAGATTTTCGTTCGTTTACCGTTCGTGTTCGTTCGTTTGTTCAGTTAAGTTAAACGAACGAACATGAACAAGCCTCCGTTCGTGTTCGTTCGGTTTGTTTACAGCCCTAAGTACCGATAAACAACTCCTAAATTTGTACCCGACGCGTCTTCATCTTTTGAAAACGGTCAATATATACCCAAAAATAATTACAAAAAGAATGGTTTTGGTTATTTGGGTTTTGTTTTGTTTGGGTTTTAGTTACACCATTTGGATTTCAGGGAAATACGGTAGCACCTTCTAAAACGATACGGTAGCACCGTTAACAAACCTAAATTTTTTACCCTTCGGCCGTGAAATAATACGGTAGCACGTGCCACCCATGCCACCACATTAGGTCCGCCCATGCCAAACATGTAATTTACTCTCTATATATTGTATATTAATATAATCTATACTATATTATAAAACATTTGACAAAAACTCTTAAAAACTAATTTTTATGCATGAAGTACTGTA